CTCTTCTCATCTAGGTATGAAGAACCCTAGTCGTGTATGTTAGGAATGATTGTATGAACCCATTTTCAATGATGATTGACTATCTTATATTCAATTAAGGCATTATTCAGAATTGCATGAGTCCTTAGTTAGAAGTAGCGAATCGATTGCTTTAGTCGAGAAGTCGATTCACTGCTCTGTACTGGAATTGAAATCCAGTAGAGGAAGTTTTGTGTGTTAGTGCCTCACTTAGTTTATTCTGGTGGAGGTTAGTCGCCCGTTGGGTATCCTAATTGAGAGGGTATGGAACCCTTTAGTCGAGACTCCATACTTGTCAAGAACTTTCCGCAGTATAACTATCAATTGAAGTGAACTTGGGGAATTACAACGTGACTTACAGCAACTAGAGGGGCACATACCAGGGGCGACCTTTCTCATACTTGAAAACTAGAACATTTGCTAGCTTGATTTATGTGTTAGTTTAAAATTAACTTCTCTCAACTTTGATCACTAGATAATCTCTTAACTTTCAACTTAATTAGTTACGTTTTCTACTTACAAATTTACATTTTAACCATAGTTTCTTACACATAAGTGATAATTTTATTTTTTAAATAGAATATTGTCAAACATTTATTTTTAAGTAGGATAATAGTGATTCAGGTAGGGATGACAATTTTGACATGACCCGATGTACCCAGCCTATTTGACTTGATTTGGGGTGAGACCTGCGTCGTAACCGGGATGGACATGGGTACTCTTCTCGACCTGACCTGCCTCATTCTCGATCCGTTCTTCTCAAAATTACATGTAATTTTACTCAAATTACTTAAAATTTTACTTTTATTACCACATATTTTAGCTATGATAGAATTGTAAATAGGTCAGAATCTCAATTTCTCAAATAATTTATTTATATTCATCATGTTATAGTTTGTTCTTATTGTTTTAATGAAAAAATAAATATTTTAATATTTTTTCTTAAATTACATACCCATACCATATTTATCGACCTATCCAAACCCATGATAAATTACTCAACTTAGATCCTACCTATAATGAGTATGGGTATCAAAATATCGACCCAACCTGTCCATCGACATTCGTGGACTCAACCTGGACCCTACCCCTACCTACTAAAACATGTTTTTCCGCAACAACTTATTCCCACTTTTAACATATTTAATTTAGATTCTTAATCACTTAACTTTCAACTTTAATAGTAAAGTTTTCTAACTTATAAATTTTATTTTAACCATAGTAGCTTAGTTTGGCCCTGCTGTAGTTTTTCAGAAGCAGCTTCTGACTGGAGCTTTTAGATAAGTACTTAAAAAAAAAAATAGTTGAGTATTCAGCTGTAAAACTATTAGAAGTGCTTTTTAATATAAGAGGTTGTGTAAAATGACTATAAAGGACTTATGATATAAAATATGAATAAAAATTCTAAACAATAAAAAGTTGTCAAAATGGATCTTGTTAGATTTCTTTTATATTAAATAATATGATTTTATAATTTATTTTATTTTCAAAATTATATAAATGAAGGAAAATTATATTTTCTGAAATAAAATTAAAATATGGAAACGATAATCTTGTATTTTCAAAACAGCTTTTCGCAGAAGCTCCAAATCGGAGCTTTTGCTTTTATGTTATACAAAAGCGATTTTCGGCTTTTCAAAAGCCGAGCTTTTACAGGTGTTTGGCCCTGCTTCAGCTTTTGAACCCGAAAAGCACTTCTAAAAGCCGGGCCAAACATAGGGAGTGTTTTACACATTAGCGATAAATTTTATTTTTCAAATACAAATACTAACATTCATTTTTATGTAGGAAAAAATTAAATAACATGCTAGTAAATTGGATGAATGATTAACTTTTAGTTGGTAGTTTACTTATTTATATTGAACATATCATAGTAGATTCTAACTTTAGTCAATTAATTACTTCATAGACATCTCGTGAGGTAGGAAAATAGTGAATAAGATGCTATAATTTGAATGAATGATTAACTTTTAGTTGATAGTTTGCTCATTTATAGTGAGTATATCATAGTAGATACTATCCTGAGTCAATTTAATTATTTCATAAACATCTCATGAGTTTCAAAATTAAGATTATTATTTTGCATCTTGTGTATATTTATTTCCGATACACTAAGGATTTATGGCCCCGTTCGGAAAATCCTGGCTCCTTTAAAGTTTGCTACTACAATACCATTAGTTTTAAGATACTTTTCTATGAGATTTTATAAGTGATAAAAAAAAAATATGAGAATTGTTATTAAACTGAAATCATGAATTACTTATAAATTTCCAATACAAAACACTTTGATTATCGAACTCCCAGAAATTTATTATCAAGAATTCCGAAGAAATGTTCACCTTTGAAACTTGCACCTTTACTGATTAATGTGTTGCCTTTTGAAATACTAAAAGTTCGATGCAAGTACAGAAAGCTCTAATCCTCCAGAAGGTTTCAAAGTGCTTCTTTAACAGTGCATCAATGGCTGCCACATATATTATTTTCTAGGGTGTGCATGTGGTACACACCCCACATTGGATGTAACGATATATATCTTAGAATAAAAGTGAATTTCATATTTAACTTTCGTTACCATTAATTCATGTATTTCATTCTTATGTTATCTCTATACTGGTTATTATAGGAATTTATAAAACTGTATCGAAAATACAAAGAAATTATAAGTAATTTCCATACAAAGGTACACATTTTATCTGAAATGGCGAGGTGCTACAGAAAGGGAACTATCATCTAAAGATAAGAAGAAGAAAAAGTAAGTAGGATATATTGGAAAAGTAGGTCCTTAGAACAGCCAATTAAATTCTTAGTTCATGAGGTGATGTTAACATGCAACAAATAAAATAAAGTGGTAGTCCGACGGAGAACCACAAGTTTTTTAGGACAAGATTTAGGAAGAGAGGCAAAAGGACCCATCCATAGAAAAATAAGAGGGTCAAAAGGAAGCACGGGTATCAATCATGCCAAGTTGGAAGTTTGACATATAAAATTGAATTGCTTGATCTTTTTTCGTTTTGAGCATGTATTGATCTTTTTTTTGAGATAATAATCTAGGTTGTCAGACCGGTTTAAGTTATTGAGCATGTCAAGTAATTGGTTTGAAGTTTAATGGTCTGATCGGGATTCCATCGATTCGAGTCATTTTAGACGTTTTCTAAATATATATACAAATAATGTAATGATTAAATATTTAATAACTGAAATGAATTTTATCTTACATGTATATATTAAAAACTTATTTACCAAAAAATAAATCTATCTAACATCCATTACCCACCCACCATCTACCTTCCTTCGTTCTTCTTCGTATTTTCCCCCTCTCTTCTTCTCCTTCTTCAGGGGTCAGACAGGGATGCTTTCTGAAGGCCGTTTTGAAGCTCGAATTAGGTCAAATCGGGTCCAGATGAGGGTCCGATACGAGTTTAACAATCTTTAATAATAAATCGAAATTTTGGATTTTCGGACAAATTTAGTTTGGAATTAAAGTGGAAGAAATCAGTTAGGATTTTTTGTGTAATTAGGATATATTACAGTAAATTGGTCTAAAATTATGTAAGTTATTCAACTCTATTAAGATATTTTGCATGACTAGAGAGATATTTAATGGAGGCTTTTTACGGGCTTATGTGCTTAATTGCAGCTAGATCTGCATAGGTTTGCTTTTCTGCTTCAATTTTCAGCATGGTTAGTTCATGATTTTGATCCTTTTAAGAGAAGAAATCATGATATTGCCCATGTCGTTAAGTGCCAAGGGCTGCCATATCGTGGAAAAAATTGCCCTTTCTTTGTTGGTTCAACATCTATTGACCAGCGCACTTTATGTTTTTTTTTTAACATCTATTGGTTCAACATCTATTGGTTCAACATCTATTGGCTGATTTCGGTCATGTACTTATTCGTATCTGGCTTATTTCGTTTCGAAATATCTTTGCCAAAAAAAAATATTAAGATATCGACCATTAAAATTAAGAACCATTTTAAGCGTCTTTGAGAAACTTGGTAAGAGAAAATATAAATAACACCAACAATGGGAATTATGTGTTCATTTTTTCTGATTTTGCGAGAACTATTGGTTCATATCTTCATTCCCTAAGTTTTGGTATGAATTTATGTTTCTTGATCATTTTGCCTCATAGCTTGTATATTCTCATCTTGTTCTAGGCTATTCCCAAGTCCTAGCAAATTAAGGAAGGGGTATGCAAAGTTTCGTTCCAATCAGAAGTCGTTTGAAGGGTGAAAAGAAGATGGAAAGAAGACCAAGTGTCAAATTAACGGTCCCTAGTATACAATTCATGGACGTGAATTTCACTACCTTAGACCGTGAATTCTCATTCCTCTTCCGTGTGTGAGCAAAAGAACTCACTGTCCGAATCGCGGGTACGAAGGGCTAGACCGCGAGAATAAGTTCACGGCTACGAAAATCAATTCACAACTTTCATCTTCATAAGGTCATACATGAACTAAGTCACGACCAAAAGTTACGACCATGGATTTCCAAGGTGTTACTGTGAATGTTCTCCTTCTAAGAGGTTCATAGGATTTTGTCCAAGATCACGGCCGTGAACTTTGACATGTGCGCAGGTCAATAAGTACTTGGAGCTGTTTGTAGAGCAAAAAAATGCATCCCAGAGAGAGAAAATTATAGGGTTAGAGATATAGAGTGAGAGTGACAAGTTTAGAATAGGGCTGGTAATCGTTCGGTATTAGTATAACCGGTTACCGACTTACCGATTATTGATATGTTGAGATGCCCAAATTTGCTGCCGACAACCGGTACCAAGTAACTGCTGGTTAACCAGCTTACATGTAACAGTTTCCGTTCCGGTTATCTGAAAAACCTTGTAAGGCCCCCTCTTATCTTATCCTTCTTCCCCAACTGACCGACTCACTGCAGAGCACGGAGAGTAGAAAAAACAAGCGACTATGGAAACTTCTGAGGAAGATCAACAGCTCCAGTGTGCGGAAGCTCTCTATCTCCCTCACAAATGCAGTCATCGCTTGTGGATATGGTTGTCTGTGGAGGTGCTACGCCAGTGGTGAATGCGAGCCTTTCTTCTTCATCTTTGATGCCACTAAATCTCCATATCCGGCTAAAATCGGCAATAGAAGCCGGCAGCACCGCAAGATCCCAACAGCTCCGCCATCACTTCCAAGGAATTAATAGCTCCCATGGTGCGAAGGAGAAAGATGAAGACAGAGAGGATAGGAGGTTTGGGTTGGACTCTGGAACTAAAATGAAAACTCTACATTTTCGACTCGGGAAGGAAGAAGGCAGAGGTTGGGATCGTGACTAGGAACAAAGACGGAAACTCTACCTTTAAGACTCTGGAAGGAAGAAGGTGAAGCCTCTCATTTGCACCTCTCTCTAGTTGATGCTTCTCTTGCTTTGAAAAATGAGCAAAGAGAGTTGAGGTTGGGACTCAAGTCAGCAGCTTAAGGCAGGAGAAGGTAGGGAGCTAAGGTCACGATTTGCATGAGCCATCCCAGAGAGGAGATATTGCTTTTTGAGAGAGACGAGTGTGAGGTTATGTTAATGGGGTTTGGAGAGGAGAGAATAGGGCATAGATAAAGGGGGGAGGGCAGATTAAACACGTGTATTCGGTATATCCGATATACCGATTTACTCTCGGTTATTAACCGATCTAAGTCGGTATACCGATAGTTGGATTTTCCCCACTACATCTTATGCCTTCGGTTAAGGATATAAATGATAACCGTCAGTTATCAGTTCGGTAACCTGTTTAACTGTCAATCGGCTAACTAAATACCACCCCCAATATTGGAAAGGTTTTGGGTGATTTCTTCCTCATCCTAACGCCAAATCCTCCCAAGATTGAAGAGCGGTGACCAAGTCAAGAAGGAGAATATGGATCTAGTTTAAGATTGGTGTCCTTCTTAATCCTTGTACTCTCTCTCTCTTTCTCACTCACTCTCTCTCTCTCTCTATATATATAGATAGATAGATAGATAGATAGATAGATAGATAGATAGATAGATAGATAGATATGTTATAGCTTCCCTTGTCATTTAGGAAGATGAATTATAACTTGTAGATTTCTTATGGGTTTGTATGTTAGAATGATTGTGAACCTCTCTATCTATGCTTATTTGATGTTAATTATATCAATCTCTTGCTTCACTAAAGTTGGTTATTGCTTTGTTCTTGTCCTAAGTTGAGATTATCATCCCCTTACTAGATCACACATCAAGCATTGTGGGATTTACATTATTATTGAATCAAATTTTTATTTTCATAGGTATTAATTCCATTGGATAGTCTAGACCAAATGCTCTGGGTATCTAGTTAGTTACATGACCATTGATGATATGATCATTAATGCGACAACCAGTCTAGTAATTTCTGGCAACTTAGAGATAGGGAATCCTTCATTAACTTGCATTCATCCTATGTCAACTTATTACTAGAGGGAGCCAAACTCAACAACAAGCTTTCTCTTGTGATCTCCCTCATACTTAGCTTTGTTTTGTTCTTTGATTAGTTATTTTAGTTCACACTCAAACCCCAAACATCTCAATTGGCTAGATAATAGGACTGAGACCGAGAGTGGTATACCTAGAGTTCCCGAGGAATACGACCCCGGTTACCACTATGTTGCTTCGCCAATCTAGGGTGAACCTGTCCTAGATTGGGGAAGTTGGTATTGTTGATTATCAGAGCTATAAATTATAAAGCTTGATGTCGATGCATCAGTGAGCATGTCAAAACAACCAACTATAAGTGGTTAATTGTTTATATGGAACCAAAGAAAAAAGCTAAATTGTTTTTCATCCATCCAGTTTCACTCAGACGGCCATATAGATTTTCAAAATTATCTATAAATTTCATGACTGAATTGTTTGGGTTCATTCTGGAGGATCGTTCTGTTGACCATTCTCAATCTATGACTAAATGTTGGAAGTGAATTGGAAGCACAATTCATTCAGACAAACATGTGATGAATCCATGGTCACCTAAACTAATTATTGTATTCTGGTCATTGATGACGCCATATTTAATAAAGAAATTATCCAAATTAAAAAAGTTTACATCATGATCAATAAACAAGTTTATATAAAAAAATGTTTATCTTAATAGTTATCATTATTCGCTACCTATATAATAATATTATTATTATTTAAATAAAATGATGAAATCTATACTAAACTAGATTATGAAAATACAGTTTAACTTGAAAATTTTGGCACTTTGCCTCTCACCATTGGTGGGGAAAAAAATTCGTGGAGGTAGAATGTCAAATCCACCCAACATTTGGAGGATGGTTTCATTGGCCATTTTCAATCCACGACTGAATGAAGCACAACTCATTTTAACAAACATGTGATGAATCAATAGTCATCTAAACACAATAATTAGTTTTCATCATTGATGAAGTCATGTTTAATGACGAGAAAAATCTATATTAAAATGTATTTTAAATTAGTTATCGCTACTTATATAAAAATAATGAACGAATTATTTTAATAAATTGATGAATTCTGCACTATATTAGATTATGACAAAAAGGTAAAACTTGAGAAAATTGGCACTTTGTCAGCAAAACTCTTTTTGATGGAGCTGGAATGTCATATCTACCTAACATTCGAACTCCAAATCATTGAAGATGTTCTTCGTGAGTTTTTCCATGTAAATACTCTTTTTTCCTTATCTCCCCGAATATGATAGTCAATAACTTCCTTCAATTCCATCATCCTCCACTCGTTCACTTCATTCAAAAGTTCAACATATCCATACAAAAATAAAATTTATATGTATGGAACAAAAGTTTTTTAGAAAAAGGCAATAAATTTATGTGGCCATTAATCTTGCAGGTGTGAGAGGAGGAAAGCATCACATGCCTTGGGCCCCTTTCTGAATTGATCTCTGTCTGCAAAATGTTACTTTCATGTTGGCTTTCAAGTTTGATAGATCAGAGTGCCCAAAAAAAGGAAAAAGAAAATCAATGATGCAAGCAAAAGGAATAGCCTTTTTTCTTTACTGTGAGGAATTTTGCAGCAGCTGTCCTTTTTTCTTACTTTTGGATTTGGAGTTCCTGCCCTTTTAATGTCCATGAAAGCTTCAGATAATCGATGAGCAAAAATGACATAAATTAGAATAGCTACAAAGCTTTATCTGCTCCCAATTCTGGACCAGCAGCAGTTCATCAATCAGCAGTTATTTCTTGGAGATTTGACGAACTTGGCATAAGCTAATAGTGTAATTGTTAATCATTGCCAAATTGCCCAATTTTCCTTCAAGTACTTCCACTGGAAATCTTAGCTGACCATCATATCTTCAGACCAAAAGTGTGGAGGAAATGCTATAAGATTTTTTATTGCAGTATTATTTGTATCTCATGATCATGGACAGTGAATACCATAAAGAATGGTTCTTGCTTTCATGCTACATTAACATATATATTATGTACACAAGAAAGGCACAAAAAGATAAGGCACAAAGGAACTCTTCTATGACTGCTGCACATACATCACAAAGCTGCTGATCTTCATCTTCAACACTTGAGGAGAACTCTAACTCATCATCTGTGTCTGATGAAGCTAGAAGGAGAAAACAAAAAAGAAAGCGCCGCGTCTGTCTAAAAAAACCCCCACCATGGTTCCTCTCTCTATAAGATCTCCATTGGCTGCTAACAACAGTACCCTTCTAATTCCTCTCCTGGAAGTTGAGAGACCTTGATAAAGCAGCAGGGTTAGCCTGCAGTGTTAGAGATGTCCCGTTTCCTTGAATTCTATCTCCACCCTTCGCCTGAAATCCCTTAAACATACTGCCTCCATTGATGGAGCTAGGCTTTTCACTCTGACTAATCCCCAGCGTCGCCCATATGGAGCTCTTTGCGGCATCATTAGGATCATCGATCCTCAACGTCTTGGGAACAACAATCCCATTGCTCATCTTTCGCAACGGTTCATCCGATGATCCCTCTGCCCTCGTGGTCTCGCCATCCCTCGAATGCTTCCCCAGTGGAGAAGTAACCGGACTTGACCCTGAGCTTGAACCATTTGGGCTTAGGGAAGACGGACATGGTTGCTGTGGTGGTGGTGCTCCAGTCCATGGACTAGGAACCGCACATCCCCAGTAAGGTGATGCAGGATAGAATGAAATCGGGAACCCTGGAGGGCCAAACCCCATCAGTGGAGGCGGAGGCATCGGAGTTGCCATGGGGTAAGGCCAAGGAGCCGCTGGCATACATGGGAGACAACTTCCCCCTGATGAACCATGTTTGATGATCCCCGTTTTATCGGATGAATTTGTCGAACCTGTAACCGACATTCCACTTGAGCACCCATCGCCGTTATCATTACCATTAGCAGCCCCTGAAGGAGCACCACGAGGGTGGAAACCGGCTTGCGCATTCTCCGAGAGGTTCAAGATGGAAGCCACGGATTCACAAAGAGGGGAATCGGACCGGAAGTTCAAGACGGTAGTACTGCCACTCAAGACATGGGATTGAGCAGCTGCTGATCTCAAGGCCTCCGAGACCATAATCTGCCTGTACTGCTGCGAAGAAGAAGCGCTCTTGTTCTTCCGCCGTCCAGCACCGACTGGCACGTTCCTCATCGTGCCACCGGCAGTCCAGTACCGCTGGCAGTTCTTGCAGAAATGGCGGGGCTGGTTGACGTTGTAGTTGTTGTAGTAACAGAATTTGGTCTCCATGCTGTTGCATCGAGGGCAAGGTAGGATCTTGTCTGGTTTTTTCAAGGTTTTGTTGTCTTGGTTTTGCGAGCTGCTGCTTGTTGCCTCGCCACTTTGATCGCTCTTGCCGCCTTTGTCTTGGCCGGGTTTATCGGTGTTGGTAGCAGCCGTGTTGTCTCTCTGGTTTATTCCTGCTGATGATGACGATGATGCAGGGTTGGGGTCTTTCGAATTGCCATTCGAGGCCCCGATCGGGCGATTTTCGTCAGTAATTTCATCGTTTCCTGAATTTTCCTGTTGATAGCCAGAGGTTTGAAGTTAGACAACAGAAACCAAGTGAAGTTTTTTGGGTTCAAGTCCGGCCACAGAACTAAGTGGATTTGCAGCATATACCAATTGTGACACTAACGTATGGACAAAAACAAGAATTTACAACTTTGAGAAAGCATTAACCACGAGAATCTGCCAAGAAAATTCCCAGCCCTAGCTTAGGAAACAGAGAATTCTGAGTAGGGGTCTCGTTCTGGGTTTGTCCTAAACTGGTCTGATCATTTGACAGACGACCAAGTGAGAAACTAATCGAATTGATATCCAATTCATTGAAAAAGCAGCAAGTAATCCTCTTCCCCACAAATCAGAGAGATGAAACAAACCCGGGTGTAGAACAAAACAATTGGAGGTAAATTCTTTTGTACCCAAAATGAATTTGTAAAATCTCAGACCAACCCATCATAGGTTCAAGCGTGATAAGGATTGGGTTACAATCAGAATCATGAAAAAAAGGTCGATTAATTTCAATCAACACCAAGAACCAGAGGCAAAAGTATAAAAAAAAAGGAGGGGGCAGAAAAATACCATGTTTTCATCACGCTCATCTCCTCCTCCTTCTCCTTCACTTCCAGAACTTGTACAGTCATCTTCATCTTTATCTCCATCGCAACGCTCATCTCGATTGCCGATTTCCGCAGCCGCGGCCGCCGGACTGGGGTCACCAGCATAAGAACAAGAGGCGGAAACATCAACGACTTCCATCCTCTGCCCCAGATTCCCCTGCTGCTGCTGCTGAAGTTGATTACGGAGTGGCCGCGGAATCATCTGACCAAAAAGTTTGAAATCCGTCATCTGTTTTCCCCCTTTTGGTGGCTCTCGATTTCCCCTCTCCTTTATCTCTGCAGCAATCGAAGGACCGGAAAGAGAGGAGGATTTGAAAAGGGTATAACAACAGCAAAAGTCTTCAAGACTGACTGACTTCCCTTCTCACTTTTTCAGGTAAGACTTCAGAGAAACCTTCTTTCTTGCTACCTCTCTCTCTCTCTCTCTCTCTCTGAGAAAATTTTATTGGTTAGATTATGGGTTTGGTTGGGGCAGAGAAGGGATGGAGGATTGAATAAGAAGACGAAGAGGAAGGGGAGGAGAAAGATATAAGGAAAGGAAGGAGGGGTCAGGTGGGGAATGCCACGCAGGCAAAAGTGGGAAATGTTTTCAGCCACAAATTTATGTGGGTGCGCTATGAGATCTTTGGAGGAAATTTCTGTATTTGATTCCAATTCCCCCACCACATTTGCTTGGAAAGATTTATCCTTTGCTGTGCTGTCCCCTTTTTCTCCTTTTTCCACCCCCTTTCTCTCTCTTTTCTTGCTTTTCCTCTCTCTGCCATGTCACAACTCTCTCTCTCTCTCTAAAGCACTAAAACTCCATATCCTTTTCAGGTTTATTTCATAAACACTCACTAACAATTGCCTCACTGACAATACAGCCATTTAATATTGATTTTAACAATATGATCACTCCAAGATTTGTAAAATCATATCGAAAGTCTTACTAGATAGGTTAGCAAAGTAATATTTTAATGGGAGAATTGCGGAGTATAGTGTCGTTGTAAAATAAAATATTCAACTAACATCATATCGATGTAGTATTGCCAAAACTAGTCTATATTACCGGGATTGCCTATTTAACTACAAAACAAGTAAATTACAATTTTCTCGGCCCAATTAAGGATGTTGTCAAGTTGATTTTGAGAAGTCTAGGACTCCAGAATTGATGAAAAATAATTTAGACCGGTTATAAACATCTAACATAATTGTTTTTGAAAATTCTACGTAAGCTGCACGAATTAGTTGTTACCCACCGGAATGAATTCATAAGTTAGAACACACAAAATTCGTAAGTCATGTAAACTGTTTCTAATACGTTAAGTTTGCTCCATAATGGTCTGCTTAGGAGAAATTTTACAATGCTATATAGTATTGGTGCTATATGTTTTTGCCTTTATGGTACAACTTAAAATTGTACATTTACGTTATGGTACAACTTCAGATTGTACCTATACTTTTTGTACAAATTCTTTTATGGTACAACTTGAACTTGTACCTTTATGTGATGGTACAACTTCAAGTTGTAAAGTTGTACCATAACATAATGGTACAAATTGCTTCATGGTGCAACCTAAACTTATATATTTAATGTTATGGTACAACTTTGAGTTGCACATTAAATCACCAATGCTATATAGCATAGTAGAAGTGCTCATCTGCTTAGATGTGATTGTGAGAAAGGTAATTTTGTACTAAGGTTTGTGGCATTAAAAGGTTGGAGCCTGTTTTGCTCCTACTTTCTTGTGATGAAATGCAAAACATATTCATAGTAATATTAGCACAAAGTGAATTATTTAAATAAGTATAAGATAGGATGATGAGTTGGCAGTAGGGGTGGGCATTATTATGATCAAACCGCTTCAAACTGTATCGAATCGCTTTTTCGGTTGAGCCAAGCAGTACATAAGACATACAGTCTACTATATGGTCTTAATTTTTAGTAGTTCGTGGTCGGTTTAATCCAAAACTGCGCAGTTGCAGTTTAAAATCGCAAACTGCATGTTCGGACAGTAAAAACAGTGTTGCAATTTTCATTGTGTGGATGATGGCTCCGATGCTGCCGCAGGCCATTAGCACCCAATCGTACTTAACGGCGAAGCAAAACAGTTTTTGTAATGGAAGGCTCTACTCTTTTTCTGCTCTGCCTCCAACAATGGCTTGGTGGCCTTCATGCGACTTCCCACCTCCATGAGAAGATAAACGGGGAGGAGGAAGCAGGAAATGAGTGATGAAATTTGATTTCTCCGTGCTTCTTCGGATTGGTACAACGTCTTCAGAGCATGATTCCCCTGAATCGTGCCATTGTTGGAAGATCTCTACTATCGCTATGTTCCTAATGTCTCATTGCCCTTCGGCCTGTCTAATGGGTCGTGCATTTTCTGGGTAAACAAATAGGGAGAGAGGAATTTGTGGTTCAACCAACCAAGGGTTTGTGTCCTTTAAGTAGGGGATAATTAAATGTTGATTGAATATGGAAACAATACACTGTCAAACTTCAACCCCAAATCGCTTTAAGAATCTTTGCATAATTTTGATCGCCGATCACCACCATTCTTCTTGGTCTTCCAACAAAATTTTCTTGGTATTGAGGGTCGTATTATTCCCCCCTTCATGAAGATGGTTCGACCACGAATTGTAGAGACACCAAAGCGCTCTATGTAGCACTGAATTTCTTGTCGATTCTCCCGACGGGCTGCGTCTTCTAACATTGTATCACCAATCATAAAATCAATATGAGCAACTTCAATAACTATTGGTAAATCCTCCATAACTTCCAAGCATTCATCTCCGCCTTTGAATTATGATTCCTCAATGTATTGCTTAAATTCTTGCGCACTCAAATCTGGAACATCAACAAGAACATCTCCTTTTACTTCTTCTACCTCTTCTTCGACTTTCTCTTCTACTTCAAGTTTTGGTTCTTCTCGAGATGAAATCAAAGCTTGTGAATCCTCTTCACAAGTGACTATAGTAAGCTCATCAACAAGAACCTCTTTTTTCTCTTCCACGTCTTCTTTGACTTCCTTTTCTATTTTGGCTTGAAACTCTTTATCCTTTTTTAAATTATGTTGCATTTGAAGTTGATCCTCATAGACTTCTTTCGGAGATAAAGGCTTTAATACAAACTTCTGACCTCTATGCGACCACTTTTACTTGTTGATGACTCCATCTTGTTGTCCATTTCGATCAAATTGTCATGGTCTTCCAAGCAAAACATGAGCCTCTCCCATTGGCACCACATCACAAAGGACTTCATCTTTATAGCTTCCAATCTCAAACTTCAATATGGCTTGCTTGGTGACCTTAATTTATCCATCTTCATTAAGCCATTGAAGAGTGTAGGGTTTTGGATGTTTCAATGTGTTTAACCTCAATTTCTTTACCGAATATTCACTCACCAAATTAGTGCAACTCTCTCCATCAATCACAATTGATAGTAGCTTACCATATACTAAGCATCTTGTGTGAAATAGATTCTCCCTTTGTTCGAGATCTTGCTCTAGATTTGGGCTCCCTATCGTCAAAGGAGCTTCGGGTTGGATTACCATTGCTAGCGCATTATTCCCCTTTAACCCTTGAAGAATACCTTCCGTCGTCTTGAGCATTTGCTTCATCATCTCCATCAATCGTTGATTTTGCTCTATTCCTGATTTTCAAAGGCTAACAAGAACCACACAAACAAAAAACACAACAATTTTTTTCTACTCACGATCAACTTTGTGGCTGATTAACTTTTTTATTTTTTTTTTTTTTACTTTTAACTCTTCACTACGTAAAAGACAATGACTTTTTTTCTCTTTTTTATTTACAAAACAAAAGAAACGAAAATCACTATAGTTTTTTTTTCTTCTTTTTTTCTCTAGCAATTAATGGGAAAAATACCTTCAAGAAATCTTCTGTTTTGCCACTGAGTTTGGAACAGTAATCTTCAAATCGCCGCTGAGTTTGAACCGGGCTCCTGATACCACTTGATATGATCCAAATCCGAAGAGAATCCTCGAACTCATATGATATGACCAGTTTCCTCTTTTGAGATAATTGCACTCTACGCTCATACATGCGGTTGCAGTCCAAACCACAACAAATCGCTAATTTATGCGGTTTGGTTCGACCACACCTATTAGCTTGCGGTCTATTTGCAACACGGTTCAATTAATTTGCAGTACGATTCAGTTTATACCAATGTGGTGCGGCACAAGTCAAACCGCACCGTTGACCTTTAGTTGGTAAAGGATAGGGTGCTTACCACAAATTTGTTAGCATGGTTATAATACTGGCTTCAGCAATAGGAATATTTTGTTTTGATGACTTTTTTCAATGGGTTGACCACAATTAATGTGGATTCATAAAAGGAGGGACACATTTATCATTATTAAAAATTAAGTAAGCATATATGTAGGGGTGGTATTCGGTATTACCGGATACGGACATACCGAATACCAGCGGTATCGGTATTCGGGCGTGAAGTTTTCCATTCGGAAATACCAGATACTTGGCAGTAATTACCGACGATATATCGGTATACCGCAATACCGAAACTTAAAAAAACGCAGTGGATTTGGGAATTGGGGTAAACTAAACCCTAAATCCAAATTGTCATAGACCTCGCCTGTTGCCTCCCCCGCTGCAAACCGCGCTCGAGCTCCACCTCCATTCTCCTCTGATTCAATCCGAAAGGTGAAGGCGGCCTCGCCGCCCCCAGCCCTAGTCGCCGCCCCTAGGCATCTTGCTCGCGTCTCCGTCTTCCTCTTCTCTTCACCACCACCAGCCAGCATGAGTCCCTGAAGCCAAAATCGATCTCGCCTCCCCAGCCCCAGGCATCTCCGACTTCCTCCTCTTCACCATCAGGCACTAGCAGCAGTCGCCGACAGAGAGAGCTATGCCACCCCCAGCATCTCCGTCGTCCTCTTCTCTTCACCACCAGCATCAGCTGCCGACGAAAAGAGCTACGCCGCCGGCCGCCGCTTCTTGAAACCTCCAGCAGAGCCAGGGTTCGAAGGTCGACTTCCTCCTTGCCATCCCCTCGCTAATCATCTTCTCCATTTATTACCCGGTAGTTGGTAAACCGGTTTAATACCGATTATCCGGTAATACCGGTATACTGGTTAACATCCGGTATCGGTACAATGCCTATTTCTGGTATATACTGAATACCGGATGGGATACCGATCGACTACCAGCCCTACATATATGTGTGTGGCGTTGCACATTAATTTTGCGTCTAGCACGTCGCCACAAGTATCATGAAGCAAACAATAAAATATAGACCATAAACACAACAAATTACACGACAAATACCATAAGCATACCAGAAAGCTTATAAAGCATACTCGAAGCTCACCACGCCATAAAGTCCGTAAAGCATACATGAAAACTCAAAAGTATACCACAAGTTCCATGAAGAATAGTAGAATTCTCAAAAAACATATTGCAAGTCCCCTGAAGCAAACCACGAGTTTCTTAAAAGAAAACAATAAGTGTATTAAAGTGCATCACAAGTTTCTTAAAGTAGATCATAAGTTTCTTGAAGCAAACCAGAAACCTTATAAAGCAAACTACAATTTTATTTATCCATACCAAAAATTTCATAAAGCATACTAGAATCCTCATAAAGCATACCATAATTTTATTAAAGCAGACCATAAATTTTCTAAAGTCACTACAACAAATTTGGCCTATTAGGACAAAAAATTAATTTTGTCATTTTTTGTTTGTCACAATAGGTACGATGATATGACAAAGATGATCCATGTCATATTTGGTATGCCTAATGTGACAAAAAAAAATGTTGTCAGAATAAGTCGTCATTTAAAGTGAGTATTGTGACAAATATTTCGTGTCACAATTAAATTTGTCAAAATAGGCGTCCCATATCGGGATGTAAGAGACTCAACAGTGACAAATCACTTGTTTTCAGAATAGTTCGTCATTTAAAGTGAGTAATGTGACAAATATTTCGTGTCACAATTAAGTTTGTCAAAATAGGCATCCCATATCGGGATGTAAGAGCACAAAAGTGACATATTATATTGTCATAGTAGCTTTTGTCATATTATGCCTTCCTGAATTGTTTAAATGACAAAATATTTTGTCATAATAGATAGCAAATAATCCCACGATGAGCTGACAAAAGGGCATGTTTGTCATAATATAGTGGTTTCGTTTTTGACAAAGCGAGGGCATCGTGGTACTTTCACGAAAAGGCGTTGGCAAGGCCCCGTTAATTTCCAGAAACCCTAAGGGGCAAAGGGTCATTTTGACCGTTGGGGTATATAATGTCTCTAAGACAAAATCGACCCTACACAAAAATCAGCGGCCGCCGCTCACCTCATCTCTCTCTCTCTCTCGTTTCGTTCCTTCTCTCTGGAAAACAAAACCATATTCCTTCTCCTCTCTTCATCCGCCGCCATTTCGATCTTCTTCCCCATCATTCGTTCCCAAAGGACGACAACAAACCTATAGGAAAGCAAACTTCCATTTCTCAATCTACTCCTTTCTCTCATCTTCGATCACTAAACCCCAACTCGGTAGCTCCTAATCGACAAGAAAGACACCGATGAAGGTAAGACCAAGCCAGCATGCGTGTTTTCTTTTGATTCCTAGTTTATGTCAGTTCTTACACTTTTTTTATTTGGATTCTCCGAGCACCCACTGGTGACGGTATCTCGTAGGAGATGAGACGTCGGCCAAGATGGATTTGAACGCGACGAATATGGCGAAAGAACTGACGAGATGGCGCTTGGATTTCTGGCTTTAGAAGTTGACAGATCTAAGTGAGATTCTTCTAATCCATCTTTCCCGACTCTATCCTCTATTCCTGATTAAACCGTGGATGTGGATTTTAGGGATTTAGATTGAGCGATTTACCTACGGGTGATTGGTTTGCAGATCTCTTTTTCAGTTTATTGGGTAGTGGATTTGTGTTCCAAGGGTTATGCTTTTTGGGTAGTGTCTTACCTTGTTGATGTTTATGCAGAGTCCTCTAAAAATTGTGAAATGACCTTTTCCAAATTCTAATTGAGTGCCTTGTCTTTTTTTTTTTGTATGAATCACGTTTGTCCAAAATCCTCTCAAGGTGTGCAGGACGAGGAGCAACAACCTGGAGTTTAAGACGATAATAGACATTTGTAGGAGTGATCTACTCCATTTGCTTGCCTCGATTCATTTCAATTCTGTAGCATTCTTTTGTTGTTCCAGTTGCTTTTTTTACGTGTAGCTTCTTTACATTATTTCTTTTCCTGTTAATATTTGTTATTTTGCCATTGGATTCTATAAATGAACTCCATGCAATTTGTTTTTCTTATTTAAAATAGAGGATTGATACAAAATCTAAGTCTTCAAGAGCATGCATCAAGAAGCAGATGCAACAAGTTAATTAAAAAAAAATTCTTTGTAGTGTTTATTATATGTAATTTAGAGATGAGGCAAATAAGGCACCTTTCCTCGTTAATATATGCAGTTATGAAAAAATAATGTCGTCACAATATACACTTGTGACAAAATGCAGTCGTCACAATATACAGTTATGACAAAATATAATCGTGTAATATGACGAACAATTCTCCACAAATCACCAGATTATGACAACCTTAATAACAAAATATGTCGTCATAACATCTCTGTTTGTCACAATAGACTACCCAGAACCTCGGCTATACTGAAAGCAAATGTGACAACTTTGTTTTAAATATTTGTCAAATTTGACCTTCCTGACGACGATAAAATGACAAACTTTTGTGACAACACCTTTTGTCATATTATACCTAATATGACAAAATCGGTATCTAATATGACAAAATTGTCTCGTCATAATAGGTCGAATTTGTTGTAGTGAGTAAACCAGAAACATCATAATGCAGATAACAAGTTATTAAGTCCGACCATAAATCTCATAAATCATACTAGAAACCTCGTAAAGTATACCACAAGTTTATTAAAGCAAACCACAAGTTTCTTAAAGCAATACTAGAAACTAGGGCTGGCAAACCACATCATAATGCAGATAACAAGTTATTAAGTCCGACCATAAATCTCATAAAGCATACTATAAACCTCGTAAAGTATGCCACAAGTTTATTAAAGCAAACCACAAGTTTCTTAAAGCAATACTAGAAACAATCCAATTCCTTCTTCGGGCTTAGATTTGAGGTAAAAAAACCGTTCGGGACCGGACCAAAAACCGGATAAGGACCAGATAAGAGAGCCCAACAACCAAAATTTAACCAACTCCTCAATCTTTCAGGCCTCATATCACTCAAATCCCACAAGTTCAATCTAAAATCAAGACCAAATTGGGACCAGACCGGTTTAAGACGGACCGAATCAAGACTGGACTGTATCCAATCCAATCTTTGGTATTCATGTTCCCAAAAAGATCGGACCGGGACCAGATCAATTTGAGCCAATTTAACCGGACTGGACCGTATAGCCACCCCTACCAGAAACCTCACAAAACACATCATATGTTTATTAAGTCAGACCAGATATCTCATAAAGTAAACTAAAAATATCATAAAGCATACTTCCAGTTTCTTAACGCAGATCACGAGTTTCTTAATGCAAAATATAAGTTTATTAAACCATACCAAAAAAGCATACTAGAAACCCATTAAGCATACTAAAAATCTCATAAAAACATATCACAAATTTCTTAATGCATATTAGAAGTCTCATAAAATTGGACCTAACTATAATATTCTTATAATTAGTATTAGTAGGATACTGTTGTTAGCCTCTATCCGCTTTTTAATCTGTTTGGAAAAAAATTGAAAGCAATAACATGATTTTGGTTCCCAGCTGATGAAGCCTTTGCTACATCTGCTGCTTACCCTTTTTGGGGTCATTAATTCCCCCCACATGCCAGTATTTCACATAACAGACGAAACAAGATTTTTGAGGTGGAGGGATGGAGGCCTTCAGCCTGTAACTGCTAGTTTGGCCGAATTGAGTGGCCTTGATGCAAATGTTGGTTATGCAACGACCCAACTTCACTTTTCTTCTTGCTCTCTATAGTCTATACCATATTCAGCTGCATGCCTCTCCCTCCCATGAGTTCTTTTTTAGTAACGCAAGAAAGACAAGACTCAACACAAATTATAACGTGCATGAGAGTTTTAGATGAGTGAAAGAGCTAACTAATTAGTAGAACTAACATTCTTATTCACTTGTGTGATCGAGGTTTAAAGGGTTTCAAAAGGTCATGATGTGGATTACCTATAAAAAAACAGAGAGGTCATCATGTACACAAGATCATGAGATGGAAATGAACAATGGTAGAGCTGAAAAACCGGTGTTTGTGAATCCGTATTCCATACCATATCAGTGGATCAACCTGGAAAACTCTCTTATCGAAACTTAAAACCGTAAGTAGCTTTAGCGATATGAAATGGTTGAACCCTGGTTAAACCACGATTTCAATATAAAGTATTCTACGATAAAACATTTTCGATACAATCTCCAGTACGGTTTCGCATCCTTACTACAAACTCTCCACTCTTCCTTCCCTTTTCCTTGACTTATTGCCCCCTTTCTCGGCTTTCAACCGAATCCATAAAAGAAAAAGCGTGGTTTGTGATACCTCACCTTACTACGATCAAACTGTATATAGCAAATGAATTATTGCTAGTTTGGCTGGTACGATACGAAAATCCTATATCAAATTGTCCCAGGGGCGGAGCCAGGACTTCGAGGGGGGCACCCTAGGTTACATGTAGCTCTGCCCTGAATTGTCCATCTATAATACCGGCCCACCCTAGGTTACATGTAGCTCAACCCTGAATTGTCCATCTATAATACATTGAATTATTATTTTTTCAGTTTTGATTGGTATTATTCCTATATATTTATTATATTTCAAAAATATTATCTTATGTAATTATTATTATATATATTAAGTTATTATCGATCAAACGAGTATTATACCACTAA